AAATTTTGGGGTAAAAAAGTGCGTCTTATACATCGAAAAATACGGTAAAGGATCCTGTTGCATGGCTGACTAGGGAAACTATTCGAGCATGCTGCCCCGATTCCTTTCGAGAATATTATTCACGGACAACTTACATAATAAACTGTGCTGAAACTTTTATCCAAAGACCTACAAACTTAAAGAGCATATGTGAGACCTTCAGTAATGATAAATCTCTCAACACTGTAAAATATCTTGTCGGTATTTCTTCACATAGGCAAATTATTTTTTATATCTAAAGCTTTTAGTGGACGAGCTAGTGACAAGTTCATAGTAGAAAAGGGTGAATTTCTAAATTATCTCTTGCCTGATGATGAAATAATGACAGATAGAGGAATCAAAATTGATGACTTAACTTTTCTATCAAAAGTAAAATTAAATATTCCCGCCTTTACTAAATGTAAATCCTAGCTTAGTGCAGCTGATGTGACATCAACAAGAATAATTGCTCGTTTCAGAATTCACTTGGAAAGAGCCATATAAGACGACTAAAAGTTTTTAAAATACTAAGTAGTATCGTGCGAGTTTCCACTCTGAAGCTTTTTGACAATATTCTGCTTGTTTGTTCTGCACTTGTGAATTTAAGGGCTGGTCTTTATTGGAGATAAGGACATTGATGAAACAGAATAATAGTGAAAACAAGAATTTTGTATACCAGTAACATTGTACTCTGAAAAGTTGTACCTTTGTTTTGGATATTTTAATATAATTTATATATTGTGAATGATATTTCATATATTGCACTATCTTGCTAAATCATCTGTATGTGATGTCTTCTTTGTGCTAATTCAGTATATAAAAGTGTATTTCCTACTATTGAAGTGGTGGGTAGAGCACAGATAGCCTATTGTGGAGCTTTGTGCATAACTACAAACAAACCTACTATTGAAAAATGGCCCGGCATGGCCAGGTGGTTAAGACGCTCGACTCGCAATCTGCGGGTCGCGGGTTCTCATCCCCATCCCACCAAACTTGCTCGCCCTTTCAGCCATGGGACGTTATAATGTGACGGTCAATCCCACTATTCGTTGGTAAAACATTCGCCCAAGATTTGGCGGTGGGTGGTGATGACTAGCTGCCTTCCCTCTAGTCTTACACTGCTAAATTAGGGACGGCTAGCGCAGATAGCCCTCGTGTAGCTTTGCGCGAAATTCAAAACAAACAAACAAACTATTGAAAAATGAGCATAGAAAAATCAATTGTAAAAAAGATTGTTATTCTTTATATCGCAATCACTAAGGATAACAAACTCTTACAACTACTAGTTTCAAATAATACTATCTTCTTTAAAGTTCCACACATTACCTGGTGTCTGATTTGTTGATCGTTTGTTGATTTGTTTATGTTTTCTTTCACTACTGCGATGGCGCCGGTAACAGTATCCCCGCCCTAGCGGCCGCCACTGAAGGTGAGGGCGATAATTAAAAAACCGTGTCTATACACTCTTCTAATTCTTGAAATTCCACAAGGGACTAAGTTAGGAATGTGGTATTAAAAATATAATAGGCCTAACATACTGTGTTATAACAAATATAATTAATTATATCACGCTTCGCCAGCTTCTGAAAGATATCCACACATAAAAATACCAAATACTAATGACTTTGCCATTCTTTGGTAGTAGCCTGTTTCTTATAGGCTATAAAGTGCTGATTAATGAGTATTAAGCAGGTTTAAAACATGTTTTATTCATTTTATAGCAAATTGAATTATTCATACCTGTACAGATATTAGCAGAAGATAAATCACAACAGAAAGATGTCACTACTGTTAATGACATAAAAAATAATAATAATCTACTTTCGAAAACATTACACCAGAGGGCTAACTTCAAGTGAGAAAGATACGAAAGTGTGTTATTAAACATCACTTATTGACTTGTTGACGATTGTCATAATTTCTGCCGTGAATTAGTCTTCTGTATAGTGTACTGGGAGGAAATGTTTGCTGAAGTTGATGTATTTGTTGGGAACAACATGCTTGTTGATCCAGAAGTTTACCAGTTTTGGTTAAACGGATATACAGGTAGCGCTTTCACTGTTTATTTTCTCTGCAAACTGCAGTGCACAAAACCTACTTCAGAGTAGGAACACTATCACTATTATTACTATTAGTAATACTTAGTAGTGTATATTAGTTATTACTACTACTACTACCAGTGAAACAACTCATTTAGTACTACTGTGAGTACTAGTAGTAGTACTATACTGTAGTAATACTTTCAATTCGAGTTTCACTTTCAAATTTCAGTACTATTAATATTACTGCAGCAGTGTAGGTTCTATAGGTTTATAATTATAGTACATACTATTCTAACCTAAAGTAACAAAACCTTATATATAATAAGCTAAACTATCGTAATCTAACCAAATATATCTTAGATGGCAAGAAAATGCTCAAAAAATATAGTATGCCTATAAAAGTTTTGAGACTGCTAGACTGGGTAATGAAAAACTTTATATTAGTTTTAATAAAGTTTTCTCATTATCTAGTCAAGCCATCTCAAAACTTTTATTTTCTTAAAAGTGGGTTCCTCGTTATCAAGTTTTAATAGTATGCCTATTCTTGCCAAACAAGGTTTTGTGCACAATCAAGCAAGGTAGATAACAATTAATATTTCAGTACTGCTATTCATGGAAAGAAAAATCCAAACAATGTTACATCATACAAAACAAATATAAGAAAGAAAAGACTGCTCAAGTTAAGAAGATCAGCTGTCAGTGGTTAAGGTTCAAATGCGTGAACCTAGGATTTCGAAACTAACATGTTTGCCACAAGTATAAAATATGGGAAACTCGGACAATTCCATTTAGCCCTATGTATACAGGAGGGTTAAAGTGCACATTACATTTGAAATTAATTAAACAAGTTTGTTATCAATAAGGTTGACATCAGAATATAGTTTATAATTCAGAGTTTTATATTATCTTACTTTAAATTTCTGAATTTGAAAAGTTTTAAATAAATTTTCAGTCATCACTTCTCTCATATTTTCTTTTTACCCTTATATTATAAGTGTCCCACCAATTACATACTTATACCATAGATACTTGCAAGTCGAAATATAAATTTCTAGCCTTAAAATGTCTTGTTTTACTAAACTATTAAAAAAAAAAGTGAAACCCACATGTCACACCCTTCCTTTTCATCCTGTCTTTCAAAAAATGTCAGTATTTTTTTCTTAGTTTGCTATTGGGTAATTTATAATCAATAGAAAGAGCAGATTGTTCTTTACAAGATTCATTAGGAGGCTAGTTCATTCTGGTGTTCATAGTTAGATATTTGGCTTTAGTCTCATTTTTATGTTTTCTTGCTCCAAGGAGTAAAGCAAATTTTTTTAACCTATTTACTACTTGGTTAGAAAGACAGTTAAGTTATAGTTGTTTTAGGATGTTCTATTCTAGTACCTGATGCATGTTTTTTTGTTGTTCAAAAATATATACTTAAAGGCTCTAAGAATTTTTGTTTGAAAAATTAAATTAGTGAAAAAAGTATTGCCTAGATCAGTTATGGTTTGCACTTGCAAATATCACATGAGTCTTGTATTTTGCTCGTGGTGTTTATGATCCATGGTTAATTGCATTTTGCTGTGTTTATTGTTTTGACGAGAAGATTAATGTTCAAGTAGTTATTAAGTGCAATGATAAATCATAACTTTATGGAAAGTAAGTGTGAAAAGATTAATAGTTGAAACTTTGAAGAACTATATGAAACAAGGGAAATTATGCATCAAAAGATGAAGAAAAAGAACATTGTTCATTTATTCTATATTTTTGAGCTTTTTATTTAAATGAACAACCACCACAAAACAAAAAAGATTGGCAACCTTTGCTGCCAGGAAGTTTTCTTCCTTGTCAGTAGTTAAACATTAGCGACAGTGGCAGATAGCTCTAGTAGGTTTGATAGAGGGAAAAAAGGACAAGTAAGTTTGATGACAATATTTTGATTACTTGGATAATTGGAAATGGTAATAACCGGAAACCCCAATTTTGATTATTTTCATAACAATTGATTTATCATAAGTTTGATAAATTAATTTTGATTAGATTATTATTTTTGTGACAATCTATTTAATCAAAGATTTGATTGATTGTTGGTATAATCAAATATAGTAATAACTCAAAACACTAATTTTGATTATTTGATTACTTTCGTGACAATTGATATAATTGGAATTTAGATTAATTTATTGTTAGAATAATCAGAAATATTTATTTTGATTAATTGATTTGATTGCAATTTTGATTGAATGTATTAATTTACATGACATTAATCAATATAATAGCTACTCATTATCAAAATTACTCCATTATTATAATGGAGTAGTTTACTCTAGATGTAATAGAAACTGTAACGTTCAATTAATTTAAGAGGATATTAGATAACTATTTTAAAAATATCCTATTGTTATACCTTGGAAATCAAGTGAAAATAGGTTTGCTTGAATTTCCTACATTTAAATAATTACATGTGTAAGCTTATTTATCACTACTATATAATACTAATTTTGTATCTTCAGATCTTTTCCTGATTAAATCTGGTTTTATCATGCTAATAGCTCAAGAAGCTGCAGCGGTTCTTCAGAACCATGGTATATTGAAACAGTCTGGTCTTCCTCTTGACCTTCTAGTCAGTGATGTCACCGACCATTATCGCACCTTTCAAATGTTGGAGAGATGGCTTTATTATCCATCCCGCCTTACAGAACAGTGGAATTTTCAGATGGCTCCTCAGACTCAGAAGATGTTGGTTGAAAAGTAAGAAAATATTACTCTTGTGTATTTTTAATAACAGTAGTAAAAATAAAAACATTTTGGAGTCTATAAAATTGTGTTTGTCATTACTACTCTTTTGAAAAAATGTCTGTATAATGCTGACAGTGTTATAGGAAAGAATTGTTGAAAGTGAAGTAAAAAATGGAAGAGAACTTGGCTAAAGGAGGTAATAAAAGGCTTGTAAAAAAGAATAGGTAGTGTTAATTGTAGGGATTCTTAAGGGGGAAGGAAAGAGACCAGGTTTTTCAATGATAAAGGATATGTGAATGCTGATGTAATCTAACTTTCTCCTTTTCAAGTAACAGTTTTAAATTGATTTGCTCAGCTTAATGATGGACAGCAAGAATGAAATACTGAATCTGCAATTTACTTTGTACATTATATTTTTTTATTTGTATCTGAATTACTCCACTTACAAACATTTACCATTATGCTTTTTATTTACCTTTATTGTTTAGTGATGTTCGTTTTTAAAATTTGTATTAGCAATATAAAAAATCAATTTATCATCTTTAAGATAGAGGGCACCCACTAATTCCTTCAAGACGTTTTCCCATGGGTAAATAATAAATAAGAACTTATGAATAGAGAGGCAAGAGGTAAAGGAACATTTGTTTGAATGGATAGGCGACTGGAGCATTTTGTTCTGTAGGTTCATGGACATGATTAGTGTTTTCAGAATAGCTCATCTAATTGGTTTGGTGACAAAGGTTATTTGGGAGGCTCACTACAAATTCATTGGAGTCTACTTACACTAAACTTAGATAGGGGAGAGATACTTTAATAGCTTTTTGGAAGCTAGTTTTGTTGAAAAGATCAAGTTGAAAAACATTTTGAACATTACAAAGAGAAAAATAGATGAATTTCTTTGTCTTTTAGATTCTTACTAGTATAATTTGAAATATTATTTATTTGAATTGAAGGGTTTATTAACTGCTGAAGTTACTTGGAAAAGAAGAATTTGTGGTGTATTCTTGTTTTCATAATATTTTGGTTTCTTTTGAAAGATTGTAAGTTATAGATATGAGGGCTGTGTGAAAAGTATTTGAACACCTATTTCTTAAGGCAAACATTTAGTAACCTTCATGTAACTCTATGGAAATTAAGTAGGGTTTGATCAGAACATGAAATGAGGGGATAATTAATTACTGATCACAAAACATCTGCACTTTCAGTATGTATTGGTTTGTGACAATTTTTTGAAAAGATCCTCACAGTAGGGATTTTTGTATCAATTATAACATCAGAGTGAATTATGCTACAGTCATGTCAAAGCACAGTTCTCCAAAACAAAGACCTGTAGAAATATCAGCATTATTAAAATGTAATGTTTGTTTATACAAGAAAGCAACTCAAAGTGCAAGCCTTGATACCATGTGAACTGGTAAATACACACGTGTATCATATACATACTGACAAATATTACATATGTGTGATATGCATGACTTTGATTTCTAATACATTTTGTTTATGTACAAAAATGTTTATTTATGCAGACACACATCTGGAGCATAGTTGATATAATCAAATGAAATTATTATTAATTCTTTGGTTAAACAATACAAGTTTTATAGTAAATTTTTCAAGAGTTAAGCAGTAACTAATTTAAAAAATTTCAGATATTATGAATTTGACACTGCAGTAATTAGAGAGTTCCTGGGTAAGAAATTATCATCACGTAACAGAAAAGATCTAGATGATGTCAGTGAAAAGACAGGAGTGGACATTAAAAGTTGCCGTAGACAGGTATAACATACAATTTGTTGACTACAGAAATTAATGCCATTTTATTTCTAAAGATTGTGCTATCATTATATTCATTTTCATGAAATAAATATAAAGTTAATTGGTTTATATTTGATTTGTGTCATAGAGACAAAGTATAGTGTTCTGGCTAGAGCTTGGTTATTAATGGTACTTACAAATTGACTAACCAACAGAATAATTGATTGATTAGTACAGCATTTTGCCTTACAAGCAAGGGAGAAGAGAGAAATACTGCATAATTAAAACATGATAGTAATATTCTTGTTTTCATCTAAGCTTTTTTTTTAAAGTAATTTGGATTGCCCTTTGTTTCATGGGATAGACAACATCTGGAAGTTGCAGCTTGTGAAGATCATGTTTTTGCTCTAAAAATTATTTGAGCAAAACTATGCAGACATTAAAAAAAAAATTATCTGAACATTTCCACTTGGTAAGTCACTAATGTTGACTAGTTCTTTCATTTTACTTGTTTTTAAAATATGCAGTAATCCCCCCCAATTGATCTCATGTAAATAATTCTTGTTTATAGCTGTATTCAAAGCTGTTTCATTAGTAAATGGCCAAACCATTTGATTTGGCACCATAATAGAAACTAGTGGAAATGCTTACAAATCAGTAAATGAATAATATATTCTTAGGGAGTAATAGGTTCTTATCAAAAATGAAGTTGTTCTTTGTGATGGACAGAAAAATTCTAAAAATAATTGACAAATGGAATATTTTGTTTAAAGAAATAGAGACATAAACTTTTTTTTTATTGTTCTTCGTAAATTACTTAAGTAAATCTCAAAAAATGACAAAATATCAATTCAAAAGTATTTCTGGATTAAAATGAACATATAAAATTGACTTCAAAATTTGTTTCTAAAAAAAAATTAACATTTTGTCTCCGAGCTGCCAATATATTGAAACGCTCATTTTCCTACTTGGACAAGCTGCAGATATACCAACTTGTAGGTCTTGTTCTGTTTTACGATCAATTCCACATTTTGAATGCCTTATATATTAAATATAAAACTAGAACTACTTCTGTTAACGAATATCTTCAATCTGAGCACCAATTTGATTGAAGAAAGATGTGTTTTCAGCAATTTATGTGAGTATTTTGAAACAAAGAAAATTATCATGCCCACTACTTCTGATAGGCCTTGTTGCTTTACTTCTGAGCAAGCTAGTAAGTTATTTGAGGAATTTCTGAGCCATGAAAATGACTTTATTCCCAGCGATCTTATGATGATGATTTTGAAAGTGAGAAATTTGACTTGGATAGATCTAGTGAAAGTGAGAGAGGGGAGAATCTTGTGGCAGGCCCTTCATGTGTGAGTACAGGTAAAGGCAAGGGAAAGACTAGTGGTGTTACTATTAGGAAAAGAAAGCAGGGTCTGGATCTAGACCTAACAAGAGGAAGAGGACAGCTGTAGGAACAGAAGGAGATTGTGAGAATGGTAAAGATGAAGTAGCATGGAGAGTAGTTGAAGAAGGAGAGACTGATGTGAACTTTTCATTTCGTGATCCACAATGAAAGATGAAGCTGGATTTGAATAAAAGCCATTCATCACTGGATTTCCTCATAGCTTTTCTTGATGAAGAGATTGTGGCCACTTTCTTTTAGCCATTTTTGCTCTGCCCAAAGCCTGTATTTGTTCTGGAGATAGAGTTAATGTATAATCAGTAATTTCAAAGCTTGTATCTTTATTTCTGATAATGTGATTGATATGGAAATAAAAATAGTTAGAAACAAATGTTTCAAATATTTTAATTAAAATTAGTTATAATTATTTATCATCATTTTTTAAAAGAAAAAAAGTGTATTCCTAAACTTCTATTATAGTGTTTATAAACAGGATACGTATGGTAAAAAATGTTTTAGAGTCATTACTTATACAGTCATACCATTTAATTTTTATTTATTTAAAACATCAGAAATACAGAAAGCATCTTTCCAATCAGAATTCTAATTTCTAAACAATGAAAAGTTGATTCTGTAACAAGTTTATGTTACAAGAGCTGTATGTGTCCTAATCAATGTTAACTTTGATGGAAACAGATTTCTAAATTCTAGACACATTGTTAGTGCCTATAAAAAAAGCCAAGGTGTGAAAATTTACCAAGGCAACATTCAATTGGCATTCATATTATTGTATCAATGTAGAAACAATCAATTACTGGCTGAGGTCATCACATAAACTAACTGATTAATCAAAATTATGAGTATATCAATTATTGTCATCAAAATAATCAAACAACAGAAATAGTTTCCAGTTATTACTGAACATTTTTGATTATTACAACAATTGATTTATCAAAATTACAATTATACTGATTAATGTCAATAAAATAATCAACTAATCAAAATTAGGGATTCCTACTGTTATTATTTTTGATTATTCAAACTATCCAAGTAATAATCAAAATATTGCTATTATGTTTGTTTGTTAAGCACAGAGCTATATAATGGACAATGTGTTTTGCTCACTGCAAGTATCAAAACCTGATTTTAACAAGTATTTTTAACTTCACATTTGTTCAGCTTAAGGCTACATTAATTCAAAGGGGAGTGCCTTGTGATTCGAGGGCCTTTGTTATGGCAAAGCTATTAAGGCTATTCTCCCTTGTAACTAATTTTGAACTGTTGACTAGAGGGAAAGCAACTGCCTGGCAGCAAACACCACCAAAGACACTTACCAACTAATAGGTCGTGTTTTATTTCTCCTTTTTAACAATGAATAAAACTCTCCATTTTGTGCTGCAAACTTCAAACTTGCATAAAGTGTAAATTTACTGGGGTTTTTTACCCCCTGTTATGTTTCTAATTTATAATTGCATAACTATATTCCTTAATGTTCTATAAGCAGGAACAGATCTATGGGAAGGACCCATGGGGTAAGGATTTCATCCCATTTTTTAAAAAAACAACAACAACATCAAAATAAGATTGGTCTATTAATTACCATAAAATATTTTTTGAGATTTTCTGAAATCAACATAGCTGGAGTCTACAGCAATCTAGTTAAGCATTTAATCACTGCTCATGTGAAATCAGACTGAAGCAACTCCAGTGTTACAGTTAAGTACTTAGAGAAACTAAAGTTATATTTAATGCAATATATAACAATAGTTTTATATACTAATGCTCATTAGAATCTGAAGTTATATATTTAGTATAATTATTATTTGAAGCAAAATTAGAAAATTTTGAACTACCAAAACAGGAATACATTTACATAATTTCAGGACTTGTTTATCTTTAGTTCAGAATATTTATACAAAAACTGTATATTTTGCTCTTCATAGTTTGACAATGTGAAGCGTGTCTACAAAGCTGTAGAGGAAACAACTGGATTTTTGATGCAGAACATCCAAGCACAGTTTCATTTACCTGAAAAACTGGCCAAGTAAGATTTCAGGAATTTGTATTTTGTTTGCTAAGTTTTCAAATTTGTAAATAATGTTTGAAAATGTTGAATTTTGTCAGAGATTGTTCTTGCATGTAACTGCATATATGTAGAAGCATGGTTAAGCCTTTTACATTATAATGTATGTATATTAAAATTAATTAAATATGGAATGGTTAGTTCCATGTTGTGGGAGCACTAATATTTGCATTGAAAATAGCAAGTACTGGGATTAGTGAAACTTAAGGTAGCAATGAAACTATGAATATTATTACAGGATCTTTTATTCTCAACGTTTCAACAACAAATATTCTTACGTTGAGAATAAAAGATCCTGTCATAGCATTCAAAGTCTCATTGCTACCTTAGTACCCATTTGTCAACATGAATAATACTTAGTGAAACTTAAACAAGAATGATCACATAGTTGTTTACTGCTATGAAGGGATCAAGATAGAACACGAGTAGGTATTTCTAATAAATCTGTTTAGTGTAATCATATATATATATATATATTTGTCAACATAAATAATACTTAGTGAAACTTAAACAAGAATGATCACATACTTGTTTACTACTATGAAGGGATCAAGATAGAACACGAGTAGGTATTTCTAATAAATCTGTTTAGTGTAATCATATATATATATATATATATATATTGTGAACTGTGATGTCTGTCTGAGCATTTGTATTTCTCCCATTTACTTCTCCTGTCATTTCAAAAGTGAATGTTGAGCTTTGCCTGTGTGCACAGCTTTTTAAAGGCAGTGTGGGAAGTAGCCATCAGTTTACTTTCAATCATACCTTTATAAGATATGGGTTTATGGAAAAGGCTTGGTATTTACAAACTTCAGCTGTATTACTATACCTGGGATAGGACAAGCCCAATTATTCATAATTTCATTGGCACAATATAGGAAGTCATCAACAGTCAAGTACATAAGCTTCTTCTTTCCTGTTTCAAACCTGTTGTTGGTTATGTACACAACAGCTGCATACTTTCTATAAAAAGAAAAGAAAATTATTGCAAAAACATTGGGTTGGTACTGTAAATTGAACTTTTGTAAGAATATTTTTACTATACAACCATAGGTCTTACTAATTGTTTCTTAACTGGCATTCCAGATTAACCATAGGCAAATTACATGTTTAGCATACCAAAAATGCTCAAAATCATACTTATCTTCCTATACATATGAATTACAAGTAAAAGTACTCATTCCTAGTGACAGGAAAAGTTTATGTTAATCTATCAGTTTAAATTATTTCATGGACTTTAAAATAGTTAATTTTGTTGCGTTCTTAGTTTCATTCAGAGCCAAAGCTCTGAGCTACTTATACCGCCCATCACAAAAGGTAATTGTTGAACATTTCAATCACGCTAAAAGCCACTCAACAATAACATATGATATATTTAGATTTTTATTCTTTAAGTTATATCACATCTTGAAATATGAATGATAGTTTGATTAATTCCTAACAATTTAGTGTAGAATATCCTGCTTGTAAATAACATTTGGCATCAACATTATTCATGTCTGGCCCGAATAGGCACATTATAACATTATCTAGGTGCTTGTGTGCATAGTAATCTTTCTCTTTTTATTTTATTTCAGAACTTAACATAACCTTTTGGGCAACATGGGACCTATTGGTTCATCATGGCTGTCCCATTCTCTAAACTAAACTAAAACTATTAATAAATACATTAAAAAACAATTAAAGCCAACCCTTATCCTTCATACACTTATCAAACTTTCTCCTAAGCTGACTTAAATTTACTTTCTCTACAACATCCAAAGGCAACCCATTCCAAGGGCCAACCATCCTGTTAGGAAAATATAATTGTCTTAGCTGAAGATGACTCCTACCCTGCCAAAATTTATATTTGTGTCCCCTAGTCCTAGTATTCTCATTGTTAAGTATGAAAAATGATGATGCATCAACATTATCAATTCCCGTTACAATTTTAAACACTCAATCAAATCCCTTCTAACTCTTCATTTTTCAAGAGAAAACAATTTGAGAGGTTTCAATCTCTTCTCATATGATAACTCCTCTGTCCCAGGCACCATTCTAGTAATTCTCTTCTAAACCCTTTCCAACAATTCAATGTCCTTCATAAAGTAAGAAGCCCAAGACTGAATACAATACTCCAAAGGTAGCTTAACCAGTGACCTATACAATGAAATTATAAACTCTTTAGACTTATATTCAATATTTCTGTAGATACAACCTAAAATCATGTTTACCCTACCACTAGCAACAGCACACTGCTTGGATGGCTTAAGAGGCTG